CTTCGGCTTCACGTACTCCTCGCCTCAGGCCACTCCTCTGCCTACTCGCCACTCACTCTCAGCTCTGCCTTCGGATGAGTCCGTAGAGTCGAGTGGCCCGTATCCAGAGCTTGTTGGCTGCCTCATGTACCTGATGACCTGCACACGACCTGACCTTGCATACCCTCTTAGCAATCTTGCACGCTATGTTGCTCCTGGGAGACACCGACCAGAGCACATGGCTGCAGCGAAGAGGGTGTTGCGATACTTGTGCAGTACGTCGGGCATGGGACTAGTGCTTGGAGGGCGGAGTCCAGTGGTCCTCACTGGGCACGCGGACGCTTCTTGGGCTGACGACCAGGCTACGCAGCGGTCGTCGCAGGGTTACACCTTCAGTCTTGGTTCCGGCTCTGTCTCGTGGCGAGCTACTCGCTCGTCCTCTGTTCTCGGCTCCAGTTGTGAGGCTGAGATCTACGCCGGGGCCATGGCTGCACAGGAGCTTCGCTGGCTCACCTACCTGCTGACTGACCTTGGAGAGCCGCCTCGTTCTCCTCCAGTGCTGTACGTAGACAACAAGGCCATGCTGGCCTTGTGTCGAGAGCAGCGCTTGGAGCACAGAACGAAGCACATTGCTCTCCGTTACTTTCTTGCTCGTGAGCTGCAGCAGCGTGGTCAGTTGCGACTTGCGTACGTGGCCTCTCAGGCCAACACTGCTGATGTGTTCACCAAGGCACTTGCGCCTTGTGACCATCAGCGCTTCTGCACTCAGCTGGGTCTTGTACCTGTCTTGCCTCACTTGCTCTCCTCTTGACCTTACTTGTACTGTCACATATATATACCTGCTCTTGCTTGTCTAGCTCTATATATATATGTGTACTCCTGCATGTGAACTGGCCTTGTGGCCTTGTCGTTGTGCTCGGACTGTGTGGTGACGTTGTGATCCACCCTGGGCTTGCTCTGCTTTGCTTGACTGGTCTTGTGACCCCTTGTTCTCCCCCACTTTGCCTATGGGGGTGTGTCAGAACATTATATAGCTTATGCTGTTGTGTAGGCTATAGTGGGGTATCCCATAGGGGGTACAACCCAATTAGGGTTTTCTATATGTACTCACCTCATTCATAGTTCATTTCCATCCTCGTTCTTCATTCTTCTCAAGTAACCGATGTTCCTCTAAAACTTTAAATACTGCTTCGAGATCCGCTAAATGTTGCTGCTTGTCGCGACTGTAGACGAGGATGTCGTCGAGGTAAACTATCACGCATTTATCTAAGAGTGGCCAAAACGCCTCGTTCATGGTCATCTGAAATGTTGCGGGCGCGTTGGTCAGCCCGAAAGGCATCACCGTGTACTCAAACGACCCGTACCTAGTCCTAAATGCTGTCTTGGCGCAGTCCGATGGTTCGACCCGAATCTGATGGTAACCCCCCCGTAAGTCTATTTTCGAAAACACCCGTGCTGTTCGCAGTTGGTCGATCAGTTCGTCGGCGCGGGGAATGGGGTACCGTGACTTGACTGTTACCCTGTTGAGCGCTCGGTAATCGATGCACATGCGAAACCCTCCGTCTTTTTTCGGTGTGAACAGTATCGGTGCGGCGAATGGTGACGAACTTGGTCGAATAAACTGCTTCTCTAACAAATAATCTACCTGCTTCCTCAGTTCGTCGAGCTCGGGCTGTGTCAGTCTGAACTGGCGCTGTACAGTTGGTTGTGCCCCCGGTTCTAACTCGATCCTATGATCATGCGCCCGCTGAGGTGGCAGCCCTTCCGGTAAGTCGTCTGGAAAAATCCCCGGGTACCGTTTCAACAGTTCCTGTAGTTCGGGCGGTACTGCTGCCAACAGTTTCTGAAAATCGCTCGGCTGCTCCGCTTCTCCTACTAATGCTATATCTACTGCGTACACGTCAGCTCCAGCGGCGACAACCCGTTTCATCGTGATGGCGTTGACGTGGACCGTTGAAGACTCGGGCGACTGCCAGCGAGGTAGCATGACCCAGTTACCGCTACTTCGCACAGTGTAGCTACCCGTCGTCCAGTCAATTCGTGGGTTGTACCGTCGTAGCCAATCACGTCCCAGTAAAACATCATGCCCATCCAATGTCGTCGCGAGCATTTCCTGTGTAAACCCGAAGTTTCCCCCGCAGCGAACTTTTACTCTCTCCACCTTCTCCTGTATGGCCAGCGGCGTGCCGTCAACTAATTGGCGTCGATCTCAGGTAAGCAGCGACTAAGTGTCAGTTGTAATTTTCGCGCAGTTGCGGTATTAACTAAACTGTGGCTTGCTCCTCCGTCAATAAAAATCTTCACTGCTGCTCCCTGTATTTTCCCGTGGATCAGTACTGGGCAATCCGTCGTTGTACCCTCCTTATTCATCCGAGTCCGATCGATGGCGTGAATCGGTACTGTGACTCGGTGAGAGTCGGTGCGGTTGGGCGAGCAGGCAGTCTCGTCAGTAGTTGGCCCAACTTCTACTGACTGCTGGCGTTTCCCTGCCTCTGAGACTCCCTCCCCTGCTCTGCTCCGCGGCGCCTTAGCTCCTCTGGGCATTCGCTCTTGCGATGGCCCGGCCTGTTGCAAGCAAAGCAGCGCCCCTTAAACGGTGCGACAGCTGCGTTCGTTGCAACAGCGTTTACAGTGGCGTGCTCGATCGGTCCCCGAGGACGATGTCCGTAGTAGGACCCCGGTCTCAGTCGGCGTAGAATGTCGATTTTCTCGGCGAGCGCGAGAATCTCGTTGAAGTTTGAGAGTCCGCGCAGCATGATTTCGTGCGAGATATCCGGCTTCAGCCCTCCGACGTAACGGTCCACCCGCTCCGCTTCGTGCATGTAGCCGACCTGCTCGCAAAGTGCGAGAAAACCGCTCGTGTAATCTTGAACCGACCCGAGCTGCCGCCAAATGCGCAATCTCTGACGCACCGAAATAGAAGCCGCGATCGGCTCGAAGCGCGCCCGAAGCCCTGCGCACCACGCATCCCACGTGCTGTATTGGGCGGTCTCGCAGAATGAACTCCAGGTGACAGCTGGACCCGTGGGCCCTTCCTCTTGCGACGGTGGCTCGTAGGCGCGTGGCGACGTCACGATGACTCGCCACCAGTCCATGGCGGGGCCCCTTAACAGCGAAACGGCATACCGAATCTTCGCTGCGTCCGACTCGACGTAATTCGCGTCGAAGAAGACGTTCATCGTGAAAACCCACGATTGAACCGTCGGACCTCCACGCTGGCTCGGGTCGAAACAGGGCGGGCGTTGCGGCTTGAGTGGCATTGGTGCCATGATGGCCTGTTCGCCACTTGTCGCCGCGAATTCCACGTGCCGACGGGCTTCGCGAGGTTCCCGCGGGCTTGGCGCGCCCCTGTTTCCTCCCATGCCAGGCATTGGTTGGGCGGCGCTATCACTGGCTGCGCCCGAGCGCTGTCCCATGCTGTCGTGTTGTGTTGGTGTCCCGGACGAGATGACGATTGGCTCGTCCGATTGTGCAGGTGCATTTGTTGGTGCGTGTGGTGCTGCTGGAGTGTTCACCGTTGATTGCTGACGCGCGGAGTCACGTTCCGCTGTGAGCATCGCAATTTCGAGCGCCGAATCTTCGAGTTGGCGCACCAGACGGTCGAGCTGCTCCTGCGTCAATGTGGCGAGCGTGAATTCGGCCATGGCGGGGGTGTCGGGCGAGCTCAGCGAGAGCCTCAGTCGTGGCCGTGCGTGCTTACGAGAGAGCACTACGAGCGGCGGTGCTGTGTCGCTGAGAGACGTCTACCCCCCCCCAAAAAACTGAGATAGTGGGGAAGCGAAGGTGTGGGTGCGGTCCGAGAAGAGATCGTAGGCTCTGAATACCAAGTGTTACGAGTGCAATTGAGTGAACGAACGAGAATTGCACTATCGAAGCAAGAGTCCAATAAGCGAAGGTCTGAGCGAAGAATATATAGCGAAACTACAGTGGTAACGGTAATGGACTGTGGTTGTCGCGCGACGGGCCTGGGACTGAGGTTGGGAAAAAGTGTCGAAGCGGAGGCCCGGAGTGTGGGTTACCCGTCGAGTCGTGAGGTCGGGGTGCGATGTGCGAAGGTGGCGGGTAGATTGTCGATGCGAGGGTTGCGAGTGGTAACGGTGCTGACTGTGGTGCTACAGTGACGTACGCGTTGAGCAGAGATGCGAAGTAAGGAAAAAGGAGTTTTCCTTACATTTATGCAAGAAGAAAATTCGATTTATATTTGATTCTGACAATTGATGGCTTGGTGATAACTAGTAAAAGGTGACGACGTGGAGTTGCTTTTGCTGTAAAAGTATCTAAAAAGGTATTAGGGAAAAGAAATTATTTCACGCACCGTATATACAGTGAAAATTATCTATATGTTGACTGTTTTTAAGCATGACAGCCATTGTTATGGAGAGTATCAATATTCATCTATGGTGTTCATAAGTAGGAACAAGATCGGGTACAGCGAATCTGAACTGCCAACATCAAAGCTCCGCAAGGCCTTCTCGTGGGCAAGTCGAACATCCATCACGGGTATTCGCCACGAGTCTCCAGTCCAGCTGGTACGGGTTCGGCCGCCAAGTGCGCTCGAGTCTCCACGATTCATCCGAAGTCCGGCTGGATCAGACGGTAACTCGTTTCGTGACAAACCCGAGCCAATCATAGTCATTCAAACAGCTGTCGCGAAAACACACCCCATCGCACGAGACGCATTTACCGAGCCGCATTTCGTTCCCCCATTCACCCAGCTTTGCTACCAAAATTTTGCCCCACCCCGCCATCACCATATCAAGAACCCTGGCAACTCTCACCCAACAGCCCAGCCAGCCAGCTTCGCCTGGTTTCTGCGCCTCACTCCGTCAGCGTGCCTAGTTCCTTGTGCTCTTTCCATTTTCATCCCGAGCTACCGGCCCTCTGGTCCTCGTTTGGCTCCTTAATTTTCCACCATGGGTTCCCGCTATTTGCTTCTCCAAGCAGTCCTAGCCTCCCTCTCGGCAGTCCTGCTTCTTTCCACGTTTGCAGCACCGGCTTGTGCGCAGAAACCGCCACGCGTGATGCGCGGATTGGTGGACCTCAACACGATTCCTGACAACTCCGTATCGACGTGGTCGCTGGAGGGGCCGCCTGGACTGAGAAAGGAGAGCACTCCGGGGCAGTTCAAGCTTGTGGGGCCTGTTGTTATCAACGTGCTCAGGGTCATTCGGCCGCAGTTCACGCCCATCTTTGTAAGTGAGAACGCCCAGAACTATGGTATGGACCGTTTCTCTTTTCAAACGGGATTGAGAAACCAAGCGTGATTATTCTCTTGTTTTTCTGTAACAAGTAGATTTCTAACACCACTTGTGGGGCTCCTTTGTCTTGTGCAGGCCGGATGGCTCTCTTCCAACTTCTCGTCAGACCCTGCCACGTGGACGGCGTTCATCGCGCCACCCGCAGGCCCGAACGAGTTCGCAAACCTAACCTTCGACAACCCACAGGTGCAGATCTGGGGCGGGCGCTTCCCCATCGACAACACCACGAGCGGCTACTCCTTCCAGCCTAACAACACCAAGCTGCTCTTCTCCCGCGTCTCCGGCTCCCTCCTGCGCAACAACGTGGACGAGCAGAACATCGTCGTTGACATTCCCGAGGCTAATGCGCCCACTCTCAATGGGAAATTCATCCGCCGCGGGAAAATCTTCGAGCTCCTTTCTGGCGGATCCTTTGACGTGCCGCTCCGCTCCGTGATCGAAGCTCTTGGGGGTACCACACCCCCCGGGCCCACCCCGCCTGGAGCAGCGGCAGTTATGCGTGTGAACCTTAACCTGCAGGGGATTGGGCAGCAGCCGCCCAGTGCCCTCCGCCCCTACCCTGCCCCCTCTGCTCCGGGCATAGAGCCTCCCCCTCTGGCTGGTGTCCCCACTGCTGCTACTACTCCCCCAGGTTGCGCACCTGTGCCTGCCCCTGCACCTGCCCCCACCCCTGCTCCCACCCCAGCCCCTGCGCCTACACCTGCTGCTGGGGGTAAGAACCCTCCCCCTCCTCCTGGGGCTGCTCCTGGCCGTGCTCCTGGGGCTGCACCCGGTGCTGCTCCCGGCGGGGCTCCTGGGGCTGCACCCGGTGCTGCTCCCGGCGGGGCTCCTGGGGCTGCACCTGGCCGTTCCCCTGGTGCTGCTCCAGGAGCTGCCCCCACAGGTTGAACACCGTACTGAGAATCTCATTTGAATGTTACAGGTAGTAGGGTTTGATAATAGTTGTACAGGCAACAGCACTTGTAGGTAACTGCTTCTGTAATGCTGCTTCTGCAAGGAAATACGGTATCTCGATTCAATATTTGACAACACAGTTACACAAAATCTTCATGCCAATTGCTCGTGTCGAAATCCTGACAAAAAAAAGCCATAGTTCCCAAAATTGACGACTGGCCGAATTAGAAGGTCGAAACCATTAGAGGGTAATGATGTTACACTAACGGACTGCTCTGCTCCCCATATTGCGAGCAGGTGTGATTAAAACGCTGAGGTACCTGTACAAGGGGATACGATACGATAGGAGCAAATATATTCGCATAGCGAAAATTGAACAATCACCAAGAGTAAAAGACGCAATCAGGAGAAAGACGAAAATCTTACGAAAAATCTGTTACAGGCGTGAATCAGTTACGGAGAGCTCAGTTCGAGTAGGAGGTTTAAAGAATTTGATTCGTCACAGGCCAGAATTGGCCTCTTAAGCACTGATCGTCATTGCTCTCCGTGCATCCATCATCACGCACAAAACCAACACCCAAACGTTACAGGCGTCATGCGCCATCACGGTGAAGACCCAAGCAGGCAAGGCACCGAAGAGAGCTGCACGAACGAAGCGTACCTTGCGTGGCATCGTGACATTGAGGCCAGTGGCGAAGATTTCATCGTGTGACTTATTTCTCGTTTCTCCGCGACTCAGCAATGGCACGCAACAACATTTCAGCGTCCTGGTTCCCTTGGATTCACCCGCATCTTATGCCACGGGGTTGACTTGAAGCGAAGGATCCTTCGAAGCTGGACATTACCACAATTGTAAAGCCTGCAAGGATCCCGGAGAACGGACGGGGGGATGTCCAGAAGGAGAACCCAACAAATGCACGCTGAGAAACGTCCGCCGAAAGCCACTTTTGCATGGTGCATGACAAAAAACGCTGGAGAGGAAACGTCAAGATGTGGGTATGAACGTCCTATGAGGTAACAGTAATGAACCTCCCCTACAGGGACGGTCAAGAACCCTGTGGACTCCCCTCCGCTGATCACAGCGGACGGGTAAGTCACGGGAGGCTGGGCGATATGTGCGACTGGGAACGAGTACGTTGCGACAGCGGAAATCGCAACCCCGGACAGGCAATGCGAACCCCGTGAAGGGATCGCACGCCGTCGCATGGGAAGCGAACCGTTCGAACGACGCACTAGCAATTGTCGCAACTAGAATCATGGTTTAAACACCCGGCATGAAGCCTCCAGAACAGATGTCAACAGCATCTCGAGATGAAGGGCAGAAAGCACCTTGTCAGACGATACGCCATGTCAGAAGGATAGAACCGACTGGAGAGAGACGTCTTTCAGCCCCGCATGTCAGTGGGCTTAACGTCCGTCAGCGCCGTCTTGTTGGCTACTTATCCCGTGTGGGCTCCTATCAGAGAAAGTTTCTGGCCAGACCAAACAGGAACAAAAACATGAAAGATAAAATCTTTGGTTGGAAGAGACTGTTTCCAACACTAAAAAGCACATCAAATATACATTCCCGAGATCAACATACATTGAGGATGGACAAGAATAATCAGTCCCATCAGTTCTCCAAGGTTGAGTCCTCAGTCGGCCGAAGGCCATCGGACGCAAATTACCACATCTACTTAAATTCATCATTTGGGACTTGAATGCTAAGGACATTGACCGCATGAGGGGATCAAACAGGAACGCGAGACGCGGCGCAATTTAAGTGCAAGTGCGGAATGGTGAAAGTCGAGTACTGAGGGACCAAGGAGCAGAAGCGAACGGTTGGACGGAGCGGACATATGTAAGTTTTCAAGGTTGCAATGAGCGGCTCAGAACCACAGCTAAGGTATTATTGTACATTCCCCACGGTGAAATCGGAGGTCCAGAAACATAAGTCATCATAGCCGCGAGCACATAACGATCAACCTGAACGAGTTTCATAACTCAGATCGTGAAAGCAAACGCTTTTCAGAATGAAAGAGAAAGAGGGTGAGGATACATTGGAGATTGAAAATGGCTTACCAGCTTCCGTCGTGTGATAGCTGGCAGCACGAAAGGATCAAGTGCGTTGAAAGCCGTGGCATAGCCATGGACTTAGTGGTGAAACTACAGAGGATTCAATGAAACACGTCCCTTCGGAATAACTCCCCGATCCCGCTGAGTTCTACGTAATCTGAGCTTGATAAAATACTCTCGACTCGACTCGCCACCAGCGAGAAAGATGGAAGGGGAAACAGAAGAGCCAGCTGTTGATAGTGGTGTCTTGGGGATGAACGGATGGAATGGGGGGGTTTTGCTGTATGTTTTGGGGATGCGCAAATGACCACCTCGATTCCAGGGCTGGTTGGAAGCAATTTTGATAGCACAACAACTTCACACAATCTTGTATGTCAATGGCCTAGGTGTAATAACGCAACATGGAACAATTGGCTACCCGATGTCGCCACGTCGTCACGGTCAATCACGTTCTGTACTCTCATTTGACTTGTGTGGCAGGCTGGAGAGAAATGTGCGACTCGTAATGTTGACTCGCGCGCTTCGCCAGTCACCCTCAAGCTGACATTTCCGATGCAAATCAATCTTGAGATGGTTGAGGGAATTTGAAATATGTTGGGTTGGAGAACAGCAACTGCAAGATCGACTCACCTACAAATAGCCTTCTCGATAGATTCAAAGCTTCATGCGAACTCAGACTTCAAACCAGCGGTTTCCTCATTTTCCTCGCAGCGGAATTTGTTTTCCCTAGAAAGGACTTTAACAGAAACATACACGGCCCAGATTCTGTCTGTCCGTCATCTCCTGCTCATGGATATCCAGAGGAACTCCGCTAGCGCGATCATGCTGGCAGTAACCGCATTCGCGCTTCTCGCCTCCCACGCCGCAGCCGTCGTTATCCTCAACTTCGTCCCAGCAGAGTCCGTGTGCCACGTCACCCTCCAAGGCCTGCCAAGTGGCATCACGGCAGAGATCACTCCCAGCTCCGTCAACCTGATTGGTCAGATCAATCTGCGTGATTCGGCAGAAAATTCGTCAGCCACGCGTGTGGTGACGTGGCAGGCAGCCACCGCGGGCTCGCGCCCAGATGAAATCACAGCCGTCCTTTCAGCCGCAATGGGCGTTCCCCTCGCTACAATCAAGGTCTCCCAGCCAGTAGTGGAAATCTCAGGTAAGAGAAAAAAAATGTATAACATATCGCTTGGTCAATAGAGTGCACAAACATTATCTCACCCAATTTTTACATTCCCCCTCCTCCTTTACCTCTTTCTCTGCACATGCCCCATTTCACTCCCTCCCACAGGGGGTCAGTTCCAGCCTTCCCCAGATGGCACCTTCACGCTCACACCCAACCAGGTGGTGCTGCGCGCAGGCGCCCTCACAGGAAGCTTCCTAGGCTCTAACCTGGACCAGGCGAATGTGACTGAAACGGCACCTCAGGAATCTGTGCCTGCAGTGAGCGGGCGGCTCACCAGCCGCCTCTCACAGTACCGCCTTGTGCTGCAGGCGTCTGTGACTGTCCCTATCGGGTAAGCCAAGCTGCTGTGGTTACCACGAACTCACCTGAGGTCTCCCTCCCCCATCCACCCACCAACGTTCTTCCCCTCTCCCCACACCAACCCCCCTATTTCCCCATCGTATCAGCTCTGTCCTTGCCAACTCAGGAGCAAGTGACTCCGCGATCTCGGCAGCAGCAGACACGCGCGTGTTGGTCGAGATAAAGGCTCTGGCAGTCGGCACTAGTGCATGATGCACTGAAGTACGGTATAAATGCAGATGGGATAGTGCGTGCAATGCTGCATCAGACCTGTGGCTGCGGAAGGACTTGCAGTGATGCTTGATATTTCTGTTTTGTAATAATGATAGCATACCAGGATGCCTGCTGTACCGGTATGGAAAATGTTTATGAGGATTTGATAAAACCTGCTTGTTCAATACACCGTATTCAACAACTACTCCAATCCCAGAGGAAGTCAAGAAGAACCTTACACATAAATTAGTTGCTACACCTACACTGCAGCAAGCTGGTAAGGAGCACATAATTTACAAACAACCCATGGAGAGAACAGGACATACAACCTGACCTAGGTAAATGGCATGAATTTTCCAGGCTGCAGGCAGCAGCTACACGCCGAGCCAGAAGACCCACGAGAAGAATCTGCTCAAGCGAAACGGCAATTCATAATCCTCATGCATGAGAGGGTCGGCCCAAGCTGCAGCAGTGACCAGACGACAGAATCTTCTCGAGGTGAAATCTCATTTTACTCCCACCGCTCTCACACGCCCAGCCAGAAGACCCAGGAGAAGAATCTGCTCAAGCCGAACGGCAGGTCATAGTCCTCATGCATGAGAGGGTCGGCCCGAGCCGCCTTACGTCCGGACCAGACGTAGAGGCCTCGTTCGGTGGCCGTGCCAGGCACAGTGTTGTCGAGGAAGAAAGCAACCATGAAGGCGATGGCCATGGGGAGGGCGAGCAGCGAGTTGAGCACAAAGTTGAGCTGCCGGGGGATGGGAAGGGAAGGAGGGGATTAAAATTTGACCAGCCATAAAAAGGCCTCGTGTTGTGCCGTGCCGTGTCGTGCTGTGCTGGGGACAGAGTGTTGTTTAGAAAGAAAGCAACCATGAAGGCGATGGCCATTGGAAGGGCGAGGAGTGAGTTGAGCACAAAGGTGAGCTGCCATGGGGTGGCAAGGGAAGAAGGGATGGGGAACAGCAGGGAGGGGACGGGAGGAGAGGAAGAGGGAATTAGACGGGAACCACGCAGGGGCCTCATGTTGCGTTATGCCGTGCCGTGCCATGCCGGGCACAGTGTTGTCAAGGGAGAAAGCAACCATGAAGGCGATTTCCATGGGGAGGGCGAGGAGTGAGTTGAGCACAAAGTTGAGCTGCAAGCAGCAGAGAGGGGAGGGGAGAATAGAAGAGAGGAAGAGCGCGAGGCCGGTGATGAGGAGGTTGCAGGAGGAGCAAATCTCAGCCCAAGGCTACAGCACCTACAGCGGCTGCAGTGGCCACAGAAGCCACACCTTCCACGTGCATGCACTCAACCACCAGCACCCAACACCCACTCACCCCCGAGCTAGAAGTGTTGATGGGGCCATGGCCATTCGAAGCCGTATATGTCTTAAAGTAATCAGGGACGGAGAGGGAGAGGAAGAGCGCCAATCCAGTGATGAGGAGGTTGCGGGAGGAGCCCATCGCACCCAAGACTACAGCGGCTACAGCACTATGTGCCCGGAACACCCACTCACCCCGGAGCTAGATGTGTTGATGGGGCCATGGCCGTTGGATGCAGTGTACGTCTTGAAGTAATCCGGGACCGACAGAGACAAGAAGAGCGCCAATCCTGTGATGAGGAGGTTGCGCGAGGAGCCCATCGCAGCCCAAGACTACAGCGGCTACAGCACTATGTGCCCGGAACACCCACTCACCCCGGAGCTAGATGTGTTGATGGGGCCATGGCCGTTGGATGCAGTGTACGTCTTGAAGTAATCCGGGACCGACAGAGACAAGAAGAGTGCCAATCCCGTGATGAGGAGGTTGCGCGAGGAGCCCATCTCGGCGTAGCGCAGCGAGGAGAGTCCGAGCGATGCTGCCATGGCTGCCATTATGGTGAGGAGCCCGCCGATCATGACTGGTGGCATGGAGGCGAACAGAGCTCCCACCTTGCCTGGTGGAAAGGAGAAAGGATGAGGGAGAGAAGAGGACGGGTAGGGAGGGAAGGGATGTGTCAGCAGCATGGTGAGTGTGTTGCGGGTCTGCCAATCATGGCTAGAGTGGTGTGGTCGCACAAAACACACCCCCACCCTGCCTGCCACCCTCACTCGTCCCACACATCTCCCCCACACCCCATTTAAAACACTACAAAAACACCCGCATCTCTCCCCCTTCCCTTCCCCCACCTCCCACTTCCCTTTCCCCATTAACACCCCGCGAGCCCCTTCCCTTCAGTCCCGGTCCCACCACCCCCCCTTTCCCTCGTAATCCTCCTTCCCCCACACCCCACCTACCGAACAGCGAGAAGAAGACGAGGAACGCCGACCCAACAATGATCGTAACGCGCGACCCCATTCTGGTAACCGCAACGAGGTGAATGTTCTCAGTGAGAGTGGTGGCGCCACCCCCCGTGCCCCACATCCCTGCCAGCACGCTCGCTATTCCCTCCATGCCTATCCCCCGTCCCACCACCCCGCCTGTCGGGGGCCGCACAGCTACCAGCAGGGAAGTTGCGTGGTAGTTGCTAACCTGAGGGGTAGTGGAGGGAGGGAAAAAAGGAAGGGAGGGACAGAGGGAAGGACTGGGATGAGTAGGGATGGTTAGACATAGGGGAGGTTGCAACCATTTCGTTGGAGACAGAGTTGGTTGATTGAGACAGATGTGTTGCTATTTTCCCAATCAACACAAAATACATGGGTTCCCTTTCTCACCGAGTCGATGGTTGAAATCAGAGCAGGCAGCAGCATGACGCAGATGGACTCCCATCGAAAGATGGGCATGCCATACTGAAACGGGTACGGAGGCGCCACCCACTTGGCCTTTGGCTGCTGTCCCACGGAGCCACATGCATGCGCCCACCCACCCACCCGTCCCACTGAGCCACATGCATGCGCCCACCCACCCATCCGTCCCCAACTCACCGAGTCGATGGTTGAAATAAGAGCAGGCAGCAGCATGACGCAAATCGACTCCCATCGAAATATCGGCATGCCGTACTGAAACGGGTACGGAGGCGCCACCCACCCGCCCACCCATCTATCCACCTCTATTCGCCGACATTACCCCTCCCCAGCTCACCGAGTCGATGGTTGAAATAAGAGCAGGCAGCAGCATGACGCAGATGGACTCCCATCGAAATATCGGCATGCCGTACTGAAACGGGTACGGAGGCGCCACCCACTTGGCGTCCGCCAGAACACTGGAGGCTTCATTTCCCATCCTCACCACACAGCATAAGAGGCATCGGTTCCCCCCTTCTCACCGAGTCGATGGTTGATATGAGGGCAGGCAGCAGCATCACACAGATTGACTCCCACCGAAAGATTGGCATGCCGTACTGAAACGGGTACGGGGGCGCCACCCACTTGGCGTCCGACAGAACACTGGAGGCGTCGGTGCGGCAGGAGGCCATGAGGGCTTGCTTCTGGAAGCAGGGGGAGGAGGAGGGGTAGATGGCCGAGGGCGAGCAGTCGGGGTAGCTGTAGACGCCCGCTAGGGTGAGCACCAGGGCATAGAGCCACGTGATTGCCAAGCCCAGGGAGATCTGTGAGAGATAGGATCGAGGCAGAAGGGCGAGGGATGGGAGGGGAGCAGCAGCAGAACAAGCATCCATCAGGAGTCAGAAGGGACACTGGAGGCGTCGGTGCGACAGGAGGCTATGAGGGCTTGCTTCTGGGCGCACGGGGAGGAGGAGGGGTAGATGGCCGAGGGCGCGCAGTCGGGGTAGCTGTAGACGCCCGCTAGGGTGAGCACCAGGGCATAGAGCCACGTGATTGCCAAGCCCAGGGAGATCTGTGAGAGATAGGATCGAGGCAGAAGGGCGAGGGATGGGAGGGGAGCAGCAGCAGAACAAGCATCCATCAGGAGTCAGAAGGGACACTGGAGGCGTCGGTGCGACAGGAGGCTATGAGGGCTTGCTTCTGGGCGCACGGGGAGGAGGAGGGGTAGATGGCCGAGGGCGCGCAGTCGGGGTAGCTGTAGACGCCCGCTAGGGTGAGCACCAGGGCATAGAGCCATGTTATAGCCAGACCTAGGGAGATCTGCGAGGGATGGGAGGGGGAGAAATGGGGAAAGCACGTTGAAAGGCGAGCAGTCGGGGTAGCTGTAGACGCCCGCTAGGGTGAGCACTAGCGCGTACAGCCATGTTATGGCCAGACCCAGGGAGATCTGGTAGCGAGGAAGGGAGTAGGGAGGGGAGGAACGATGGAAAAGCGGGAGAGGAGGGATAAACGCGTTGAAAGGCGAGCAGTCGGGGGAGCTGTAGACGCCTGCTAGCGTGAGCACTAGCGCGTACATCCACGTTATGGCCAACCCCAGGGAGATCTGCGAGTGATGGGAAAGGAACGGGGGAATGTTAAGCAGGATATGGAGCACTGAAGGTTGCTTCACATGCAAGAGAATCAGACCTGGTATACCCAGGGAGATCTAACGAGAGAACATCAGTTAGTAAGTATTGGAAGGAAGACAAACAGTTGGGATGTACAGTGCGAATAGAGAGAAAGCCCGCTAAATGCGGAAAGGGCAGGGCGGTGGAGGAGCTTACCGCGTGGATCTGGAAGAACCTCGAGCCCCAGAATGACACTCGGCGCAGGTACTGTTGAGAGGGGTGCAGAGCGGTGGAGAGGGAGGCAGAGAGGTGGAGAGTCACTAGCGGATGGCGGAAAACTTTAGAATACGTCGGTGCTAGGATATCCAGCTATATTTCCGTGTCTGATACCAGGGCGGCTAAGCTGCTGCTGCTGCTGCTGCTGCTATCACATCCGAGGTCTAAGCTGCTGCTGTCACATACCAGGTGAAAACAGTGCTGCTATGATATTCAAATGTAACTACTGCCACATACCAGTGCGAAGATGACAATTAGGATGAGCTCAGGCAGGCCGATGGCCACACAGCGGCCGATGACCGGAAAGCCATAGGAGAGGAAGGAGAGTCCCACGGCCATGATGGTTGGTGCCACCACCACTGGGTTGATGAGCCTGCCGTGGAGGATGGGGGATGGGGGAGCAAGGAATAAGAGGGGAGTGCGGGGTACGGCCGATGACAGGAAAGCCAAAGGAGAGGAACGAGAGGCCGACGGCCATTATGGTTGGCGCTACCACCACTGGGTTGATCAGCCGGCAACGATTTGCAGCAGCGACGCCACGATCAGAAGCAGCGGGTGAGGTTGTGAGGCGAGGGGGTGGGGATGGGGTAGCGGGCAACCGAGGGTGCTTACTCTATAAGAAGTGACATGAAGCCTGAATAGCCGGCAACGACTTGCAGCAGCGACGCCACGATCACTGCCCCCATCGTCTCCCGCATTGTCAACGAGAACCGCTGTGAGGGATCGGCGGTGAGGTTGTGAGGCGAGTTGGCGACGATGATAGCCGGTGCCAAGTACACGAGAGAGGACCCCTGCACGAGGGGCAGACGCGTGCCCAGCAGCACGTGGAGCGTGGTCGCCACGCCCGTCACCATCATCACCGATTGAATCACCGCCGCCTTGTCGAGCTGCAATCAGGAAGAGAAAGCAGGGAGCAGGGCTGATGGAGAATTTAAACGGTAAGGGCGCAGTGCAATACGTGGCATGCTGATTCTCTTGCCAAGTGTGATTCTCGCCTGCACCAGGAGCAGTGCAATAACTGATGTACTTACGTCGGAGCCTCCCATAGCGGGGACAAGTATCATCGGGAACACAATCACGTTCGCTATAAGCGCAATCATGTGCTGTAACGCGTACGCCACCATCCACCCGGCCTCGGGTCTCTCCCTCATCTCATAATTCATCACGCCCGTCCGTTCTTCCATCCCCTCCTCTAAAGGCATATCGTCTACAATCACATCTTTATACATATCGTCATCTCCCCCCATATCCTCCCCCTCCGCGTATCCATACTCCCCCTCCGCCATCCGATATTCCCCCTCATACTCCCCCTCCGCTTCCCCCTCCTCCCCTTCCGGATACGGCGCCACCTGGCTTCCGCCAACCCTTCCGCCGACCGCCGCGCCTACAAAGGCCCCGCCTGCCCAACCCGCTGCTACCGCTCCGCCAACCTTCCCCCCATGTCGGCTCGACACCTCTTCCGACCGTCGCGCGCTTCCCATTCCCGCGTCGCTTTCCTCAATGGACGAAACCCCCTCGTTCTCCGCTTCCGGTATAGTCGCAGAAGCGACCGCCTGGGGAGTTTTAGGTGACATGCTGCCGGCCCCGATACTGTCACTACTCGCTTCGCCCCGCTGCGCGACGGGGTAGCGGATTGAAGGCGCTTTCTTGAACGCGGATCGTCCGGGCGGTGGCGGAAGCTGGGGAGCGGAGACTTGCCCCCCATTCCCGCCGTGCCCCCCGTGACTATCGTACCCGTCGTATCCCTCATGCGCTAAGTGCCCTTCCCCCTGACCATGAAACCCGCTCGCTTGGAAACTACTGCCGTCCGCGCTGCTAGCGCGGGACGGCGAAGCGGGTTCGCCTGGAGCGGGTGTGACTGTATTGGTGCCATCGGTGACGTCGACGACACTGTCCCGGCGCGGGGACATGAAGCCGCTGACCAAACCCGTGCGCCGAGCCCACGAGCCTAGAGCCTGGCGGGACGAATGAAGTCGAGGAGATGGTAAAGATACTGCGATCAATAATATGTAAACCTAAAAGCGCGGGATTGTTGAGGGTAGCAGGGCATGGAAACAGGCGAAAAAAAAATGCTGCAACGAAGGAAAGGTTCGTGGCAACACATCCTACTTGTGGAGGCATCTAGCACTAGCTGCAAACTATTAAAATGAGCCGTCTCATAATACCATCCGGCTAACAATTGAGTGCTGGAAGGAAACTCGTTCACACAGGGCTACAAAATTCAGGGGACTGCCTACCTTGGGATTAAAGCCATGGTCTTGCGGAAGAGGATCCATGTTGGTGAGTCAACTGACAGACGGGAACGACGTAAAGAATGATTGTCGAATCGAGATTCACGAACTCGTATCGTCAATAGAAATATGGTCTATGTAATTGAAATCAGGACCTGTGTGGGTCGACGCTAGATAGACTTCCCTTCGAATCAGTCCAGGGCGTTTAGAAAAACCTGCGACGACGATCTATTACGCGGCTAACTAAAGGTCGCTAGTCAAACAGTAATTATGCGTAATCCTAATAGCTTACCCTGCGACAGACAGGTCACAACCCTAAACCGTCATCGGCTCTAATAATAAAATGCTAGCAACTGAAGGAACAGCACAGCAGCGGCTAGAGATCAAGTGCAGCGTGGAGATCGAGGAGAAAGCAGATGAACCTTTCTGCGCTGCCTGTCTGACGTCTGATTCTGATGGGATGTGAACCGAGCCGCATGTCCTGCGCGCTCCGATGAGATGGAACTGTGAATCCTTTAGCTGTGCGGGACTTTCTTGGTTCCAGCGAGAACGTTGATTGGTGCGCGCGTGAACTGGAGTGAGATGTCCCCGAGACAGCCCGCACGACACCGGGATTTGCGGATGAAGTTGAAACTTTTCGCAACCACTTCCTCGGGAACTTCTTTCGTGCGTCGTGAACCGTGCAAATTTCGATGGTCCTCAATTTCTGCTCGGTTCGTGGACGTGAGGTGGGCACCCTTCGACCTTCTCAAGCTCGTCGAATTTCGCCGGCATTGAGGTGGAGGAGCAGTCTGGTAACATTCTCTGACAAACCAACCAAACCAGTCCAACTCCGGCCGCTGTGTCAGTGGGCCAGGAAGACCTGACACCACGGAAAGCGATGAGCGAAAATCGGTCAAAGTGGGACGCACTATTACACAGATCCGTGTAAAAACTGAGGGAGTGTAGGAATGGGGTTCAAGTAGACTACAATTGGAAACAAACAATGAAAACTGTAAGTACCTAGCATCTCTACTAAGGGGTTCAGATTCCAAGGCTTTTCTAAAACCAACGAATCAATCCGGTTAAATTCTGATGATTATGTCACAACCGCCGACGCTCCCCAGCATCCCCATCTATCGATGCAGCTGCCTCCGCACTTTCCTTCAAACCAGCCTTCTCCTTCATCCGCCAAAACCTCTTCTGCACAACGAGCACCTGCTCCTCCTCACCATCAATAAACGTCCTCGATACAGGCCCCTTCAGTACAATCCACTTCACCGCCTTCAATCGCTTCTCCAGACGTGCAATAACATCGGCACTGTCTCGGAAGAGCAGAACACCCTTGGGACGGAGGATTCGGTCGAGCTCAAGTAGCAAGGCCTCCAAGGAGCATTTGCGCTTGAGGACTTGAGACACCGCCCTCCACGCATGGACAAGGTCATAAGTCCGGGGATATGTCGAGAAGGGCTCACACCTGAAGCAGGAGACATAGTATACAAACAAGTGTCAGTATCAAATGACAGGGACAGGCGCAGAGGATAGCAACAAGGGGCAGCAAACCAGGCCCTCTGCAATTCCCCCATGTGCAAAGGTCCCCAGTATCACCCCCAACAACAGTGCCACTCACCAGTCATGGAACATACCATGGCTAGCCCAGCACTCTTGGCTTCTCCGTGTGGTGGCACCGTGTTCATCACCCACACCGCTGCATAGTCCCCTTCAAGTCCCCACCACCCCATCACCTAAACCTGCAAGCCACTCACCAGTCGTGGTAAACTCCAATGAGCCCGCGGTCATACACCAATGCCAGTCCAGCACCGCTGGCTTCCCCCTGCGGGGGCACCGTGTTCATCACCCAAACCTCCTGCCCCTGCGCTGCCAGCACCACAGCATAATCCCCTTTGTGTGCCCATCACCCCAATAACCAGCTCCACTCACCAGTCATGGAACACCCCGATGAGCCCTCGGTCATACACCATTGCCAGTCCAGCACCACTGGCTTCCCCCTGCGGGGGCACTGTGTTCATCACCCACACCTCCTGCCCCTGCGCCGCCAGCGCCGCTGCAAACCCGCCCATGTGAGCATTGATGTCAATCACGTTGCGCACGGGGAAGGCCGCCCTGGAAGCCTTGCTCTTGGACGCTGCTTTGTCTAGAGGACGCAGGAGCGCCTGCCCGCCCAGCAGAGAGTCGTAGTCTGCTACTATCTTCTCCCACGCTTCCTGTCAATGGGGTAGGGGCAGAGGGAGGGCAGGAATGATGGCTACTGATGTGCTTCGAAGAAGAAATTATACCAGCAGCGCCCGCCATGCCACCCACCAGAAAGCAAACTATAATCTTCGAACAAAAAAGGGTCACCAGCAGCAGCAGCAGCAGCAGCAGCAGGCCGAATCCGGGGACAACTCACTGTGTCGGCCTCAAAGTCGGATTTTGCCAGCCCTAGCAAGTCAATGCGGGGCGACGGAGACACCAGGCGTTCTGGCCACGGCTGGATGAGCTTGTTCTTCTTGCCTTTGGGCACCGTGTTGACGCATGCATCCATCGGCGTGTACCAGGCCGAATTTGGCGACACCCGGGCGGCATCGCACAGGGGCGGCTCTACGTCTGCCGCCCGCTTCTTGATGCACAGATTTGTCTTTGGCTTCTTGAATATGGCGGTCTGCCCGCTCTGCGCCTTCACCTTCCAACACATGCGCCTGGAGAGGGGTGGAGAGGGGTGGAGAGGGGTGGAGAGGACGGATGGGATTTGAGTCTGACTCATAAGTCACCCCTGTGTCTGCCGCCCGCTTCTTGATGCACAGATTCGTCTATGGCTTCTCGAAGATGGCTGTCTGCCCGCTCTGCGCCTTCACCTTCCAACACATGCGCCTGTGAGGATGGGTGGAGAGGGGTGGAGAGGGGTGGAAGGGGTGGAGAATGAGCACGGGCGCCAGGATCTTTAGTTCTGCCTGCTCTGCGCCTTCACCTTACACAGCTTCTGACCCCCCTCGTTCCTTCCTCACACTACCTCTCATTCCCCCTCGTTCGCATACATGCAGGTCATTGGGTTCTCCTGAATCAACCGAATGACAACCCCACATTTCAACCCACCCATTCACCCAATCATCTCACCCTCCCATCTCACCCCATGAACGCCAGCATGTCCGTCCACAGCTTCTGATTCTCCTCGTCCTCGCGATACACAGGCGGGGCGGACCACACCCAGTAGCCCCCGGGCCGGATTACTCGATCCAGCTCCAGCAGCAATAGGCCGTCTGAAGGGCAGGCAGGGGAGGTGTAGGTTAGAGGGGCAACGAGGAGGTGTTATGTGCCGGCTCAAGGCATGGTAAAATGTGGCACACAGGCGGCACCCAGTAGCCGCCTGGCCGAATCACCCGATCCAGCTCCAGCAGCAATAGCCTGTCTGAAGGGCAGGCAGGGGAAGTGTAGGCAAGAGGGGGCAACGAGGGGGTGCTATGTGACGGCTCAAGGCATGGTTAGTATATTATATGTGGCATACAGGCTGCAGCCAGTAGCTCCCTGGTTGACTGGATCACCCGATCCAGCTCCAGCAGCAGCGGCAGCCCCGTCCGAGGGGCGGGCAGGGGAGGTGTAGGCAAGAGGGGGCAACGAGGGGGTGCTATGTGACGGCTCAAGGCATGCGGCATACATGCTGCAGCCAGTAGCCCCCTGGTTGGCTGGCTGGATCACCCGATCCAGCTCCAGCAGCAGCGGCAGCCCCGTCCGAGGGGCAGGCAGGGGCAAGGGACAAGAGTTCTCTCAATCACACCCACTCATCCACTCATCCACCCCATTCATCCACCCCTCCCTCCTCCCACCCACCTCTCTGCAGCCAGTCAATGCGGCAGCGGGAGCAGTGGGCCAGGTCGAACGCCAGGGACGGGAACGGCAGGCGCTGAGTGCCCATCACCCCCAGGAACGCAGGTAAGCCTCTTTCCAAGGCGAATTGGATCTGATTCTCGTGCACGTCGTTGGGGGCCACCGACATGGTCAGCACTGAGTGCTCCAGCAGGTACGCGCCGAACGACGCCACCCCGCACCCGATGTCCAGAACCGTCCGGATCTTGCCGCCCACCGAGAAGTTGCCGTTCTCGTCTCCCATCATCTGACCAAGAGGGTAGGGCGTGTGGGAGAGGCAGGGACGGAGTGAAAGTGGTACGTAAATGTTGGTGTTGCCTCTGTCCATCCAGTCCCGTCCCCCTTGTCCCGCCCGTCGCCTCCCCCCCTCCCCTTCCTTTTCTGCCCAATGCGCTCAATGTATTTGTCTGCCCTCCCAGGAAAGTACGTGCTCCCTTACACCCTTTCACCCATCCCCCCCCCCCCCCCCCCCTCTTCCCCAGTCTTTCTCACCTTCCCAATGCGCTCAATGTATTTGTCTGCGCCCCCAGGGAAGTGCGTGCCGCCGCCCGGGAATCGAATAATATCGCCGTCCACCACCATCCAGTGCTGATCCGACTTCTCCGTGGCCAGCAGCGTGTGGGGCACGTTCGCCCGCCACACCTCGTCCCTGCTGCGCGGCCAGGGGATGGACGTCTGGCAGGAGGGCGAGAGAAGGAGATGAGGGGAAGGGGAGGGGGGAGAGGGTCGACTATCTCAGTTGCTTGCAGCGCGTTGGGCAAATTCGCACCTCGTCCCTGCTGCGCGGCCAGGGGATGGACGTCTGGGGGGGAGGGAGAGAGGAGGAAGAAGACAGGATG